TGTGTGGTGTGTGTGTGTGTGTGTGTGTGTGTGTGTGTGTGTTCTGACTTTCAGTTTACAGTTACATTATTTGCTTTGTTGATTAGTTATTTAGTTGGTTTGTAAGTTAGTTGGTTATTCAATATGTTGGTTGGGTGGTTATCTGGTTGGTTGGTTGGTTATCTAGTTGGTTGGTTGGTTGGTTGGTTATCTGGTTGGTTGGTTGGTTGGTTGGTTATCTGGTTGGTTGGTTGGTTATCTAGTTGGTTGGTTGGTTATCTAGTTGGTTGGTTGGTTATCTGGTTGGTTGGTTGGTTGGTTGGTTGGTTGGTTGGTTGGTTGGTTGGTTGGTTATCTAGTTGGTTGGTTGGTTGGTTATCTGGTTATCTGGTTGGTTGGTTGGTTGGTTATCTAGTTGGTTATCTGGTTGGTTGGTTATCTAGTTGGTTGGTTATCTAGTTGGTTGGTTATCTAGTTGGTTGGTTGGTTGGTTGGTTGGTTGGTTATCTAGTTGGTTAGTTATCTAGTTGGTTGGTTATCTAGTTGGTTGGTTATCTAGTTGGTTGGTTATCTAGTTGGTTGGTTATCTAGTTGGTTGGTTATCTGGTTGGTTGGTTGGTTGGTTGGTTGGTTGGTTGGTTGGTTGGTTGGTTATCTAGTTGGTTGGTTGGTTATCTGGTTGGTTGGTTGGTTGGTTGGTTGGTTGGTTGGTTGGTTGGTTGGTGGTTGGTTATCTGGTTGGTTGATTGGTTGGTTGGTTGGTTGGTTGGTTGTTGGTTGGTTGGTTGGTTGGTTGGTTGGTTGGTTGGTTGGTTCTTTAGATCACATGTTTCTTCATGCTTTATTAATTTGTGAAGCTAGAGTTATCACAAATGATTATCCAGGAGACCGCATGTCTTTCAAAGGATTCCAGTGTTAGATGCTAAGATAGTGAACTGTTGTTGCGTAGCTTGGAGTTTTATTGGCTTCCACTCATAAACTGAAACTGACACATGTATTTAAAGTCCTCACGTTGTGGACGACTATTGTTTGAGCTATTTTCCCTGAAGGTCTCAGTGGAGACAGCTGAAGGAAAAGTCTAGGAACTGCTTTTAGAAAACAGTCTTAAGTGACTCAGTGAAAACAACAGCTGATTGTGCGGCTAAAATTAGAAGAGGAGACATTTACCGACCTCCCAGGATGTTGCAAGACACTTCAGAAGCAAGTTTCAACAAAAAAGGACAAATACTTTTCTCCTAACCTTTTGGTAATATTTCACAGACATTAAATAATCTAGTAGCGAGTAGACATCGTTCTGTTTCTCTTTCTGTCACAGGACAGAAGGGTTGGAAATGTCTGAAAAACATTGTAGTCTGAGAAAACCCCGTCCTCCTCCTCCTCCTCCTCCTCCTCCTCCTCCTCCTCCTCCTCCTCCTCCTCCTCCTCCTCCTCCTACGTGTTATTGAATATTCTTTGCGGTGTTGCTGTTTGTGGAAAAAGTTGAAACGGCTGTCTCTTGGCTGCTTTCCTTTTCCAACCAGAAGCCAATGTGGTTCAAGTCTGACGGTGTGAAACTTCATACAAGAACTACAGAATGTAAATATCAGCCACAGCCAAGGAGCCAGAACCGAGTCTGTAAAGTCCTCCGCGTCTCTTTAGGCAACAGAATACCTCCAACATATTCATTAACTGAAGCAGTCAAACCGTGCGTCCTGCAGGCTGCAGACCCCATGCAGGCTGCAGACCCCCTGCTGAGCGTGATAATGGGAGGTCTCCTAATTTAAACAGGACCGCCCTGGGGCAGAGTATGTTGTCTAAAACGGAAGAATAGCCTCTTTGTCGAAAGAGTGGTTTTACTCAATATTATCTCATTGTTGTCGGGCCAAACGTCAACCAATGACGCTCCATTCAAGATGAAGTAGAGCAAGTGATCCCAAGCCAATTCCCTGCAGCTTGTTGTTCAAGCTTTCTCTCTGTTTGGCTCATTAATGACTGATCCAGAACAACACACCTCCAGTTCACAGAAGCTTCAGAGAAAACGTACAGAAGCCCTGAAACTCTAAATCAAATCCCATGACATATTACACAGATTGAACAAACCTTCAGAACCAATCGGTCTCTTCTGAGGGAGGAACCAGATCATAACAAACATTACAAACACATAGTTCTGTGTTGCAGTAATAATGATAGGAAACAGCTGGGGGAAGAACCTGGACGGAACAAAGCAAGATTACTTTCCATGTTTGATGTTGAAACGATTAAAACCAGATCCTATGTTAGCATGACCTGAGATTCAGAGTTGTTTGAATCCTGCAGAAGTCTTTCTTTGGAGGAAGACGATACGTTGAAGGTGCTGAAACATCCTGACGGACAGATTACATTTCACGTTGCTGCAGGAGTTCGATCTTTAGGAGGTTAGAGGAACACTCCTCCGGCTGCACAGCAGGAATGCTAACTGAATATAAGACGACAATATTTAAAAAAGGGTCAAAATACAGAGTGGTACAAATAAATCACTGGTTGTAATGTAAACCAGAGGGAGGTGGAGGAACCTGAATCCGTTACATGCTGAGTAAAACAAGCGTCCTCTTTCTGATGAATGCAGGAAACTAACGGAGAATCAGATTCTATTTATTCAAATGAGGTTCAGAAAATCGCTGGTTTTTGGACGGCTCTAAAGATTATTTCACAATATGTTCCTGTGGTTTGAGGAATGTGTGTTCAACCATCTGACACATGTACTGTGGAGGGAAAGTATAAATGCCAGAATATCTATATACTTGCACTATTCTTTTGTCATTTTCTATTATTTTATTTTCCACATTTAATGTAATCTATTTTTATCTTTTCTAATTCTCTCGGACTATTTAACTTTTTTTTTAATTTAATTTCAATAGTTTTGTTTGATTTCCCTTTTTTTTAAATTCTTCTTGCATATTTATTTTTATTTTAATACAATAAAAAAGTACTCGGAACAATTTTAAGTATTTTAAAACACAGGGTTGTGCAACAAAATGTGGTTACAGTGCCATTCACCTACATAAGAACAACAAAAAATCACAGACTGGTTTTGAGGAGAGTTAACAACAGGTCTTGGTTAAAGTATCATTATCTGTCTCCTGCAGGCAGAACATTAACTTTCCTCTCCTGGTTCGTAAAAACAGCTCAGGTTTCCTGTCACCTTGCTCCCAGGTGACGTACGGTTTATATATCTGAGGTAAACATGACCCTGGGCTGTAAACAAGCCGGAGAGGGTTTCTGCTCAGACTCTGTGAAATGAGTCAAGTAAAAACCTCCAATCTCGTCTAACTTAACCCGAAACATTCATATTATGTCTGTCATTGTTCTCTATCTGTCTGCAGTAATACGTTTGTAAGGTTGAGTTTTAGCCTTCACGCTTTGTGAGGAATATAACGGAATTTAGTCAAAACACTTTCCACGCGTCTCAACATCAGTATCAAAAAGAGAGCACGATGTATCGTAGGAAATGTGTCCAACATAAGATATACCAACGGAGACATGAACCGCGAATTGTGCAGATATACATTTTAGATTTTAGACAAAGCAAGTGAACATGCACTTCTAAAAGTACAAGACCTTCCCCTGTGAACTGCTGAGGTGTCTCTGAGCAAGGCACAAGAGTGGAATATATATATACTGCTTTATAATGATTACTTCTGTCTCGTAGTTACAGTTCAACTACTGAAATACATCTGTAATTGTTCAATATATACTTCCACCTTTAATACTGCTTTCCAGTGGCGAGCCGTGACTTTTATACCTAGGCCCTCTGACCCCCACCCCTTCCCTCAAATGATTACGTCACAGTGTATACTTCAGCGGAATATCAAAACAACGGCCCGGGGTGCAAAACGCATCAATGACAGCGACCCTCTACCACACAAAACAACAGCTGTAAATAACCCTATTTGTGTTCTTTGAAATTGAAAAGGATATTGCATTGTGTTTGTTACTTTCGTTGCAGTTGTATGTCTGAAGTGTAATAATATATGGCATGCTTTTATTTTGAAGGCGAGTTTACGCTATTGACAGGAAGTTGTTGTTGTTATGGAAACAAGAAAAGTTTCACAGCGGGCGGAACTTGTCATAAAGTCCGCGATAATAACACCCACCCATTTAGAGGGAAGATATGATTGGTCAATTGTACTGTCATCTGACATTACTCTCTCGTTGAGTTACTATAGCAACCCTCTGTGAATTCATAGCTGGACGTCCAACAGCTCCTAGCTTCACCTCGCAGAGACGAGCTTCTTTCATTTAACCCTTCACATTCCAACAGAAACTGAATAGGCAGATTTGAAGGATTTATTTCTTTGGAAATGTTATTTTAAATAAAATTAAATCAAGTTATTTTGGTAAAACTAATGAAAAATATAACTAAAAAGAATATATTAAAAAATATATATATTTTTTTAATGTTTTTAAATATTATTTTGTAGAATATCTTCGGCCCTCACAGAGGGCCTAGAGGGCCCTGACGGCTCACCACTGCTGCTTTCACACTTCTTTACACATGCTACACTTATTTATGTATTCTAATATACTGTTACTGGTACCCATTGTTGTCAACCTAGATGTGTATTTGAGTACATTTGAATGTGTATTTCTATTTGAATCTTTGCTTTTGTATATGCATGCCTTTTTAGTAAGTATTTTGGTATGTTTGGCTTTTCACTGTTGCTGTAATGTCTGTGGGATGAATAAAGGTTTTCTGATTTTCTGTATGTGCACTTTCAATTTCTACAGAAATCCATTTCCATTCAATTAGAAACTGGAATTATTGTTACGTTGCAATACGCCCAATGTCAGCCCAACGGGACCCATTTGATCTCCATCTCTTTCCATTTCCTGCTGCGGGTGTTTAAGATATTGTTGCATTTTAATTGCAGACCCCTGAATCAAAATAAGAATTGTCGCTCAGCAGACTTTCTAATATTAGCCAAAATCATATCATTGTTTAAATAATACAATCTTGTTTTTTTGCATACATAATGACATGATTAAAATCTCCATCTCTGTCCATGTCCCCGCTGCAGGTGTACACGTATAAGCAGAATGCTCTGAGCAGGCAGAAGGTGCAGCCCATGCACCACAGCAGCGTCGGGGGGGTGGAGGACATGTCCACGCTGGAGGACCTCCATGACGGAGCCATCATGCACAACCTCTTCCTGCGCTACCAGCAGAGACACATCTACGTGAGTTCACTGCTGGATAACACTCAAGATTCAAGGCTTTTATTGTCATGTGTTCAGAGCTACGGTGCAGATGTGTCAATGAAAATGACAATAAAGCCTTGAATTGATTTGAATTGATGATGAGTTTATGATGGATCCAAAGAGTCTCCAAGGTGGAGGTCGATCTGAACTCTTCTGTCGGAGGATTTTAGACCTGGACCTTTTTGTTTGTCTTGGTTTTAGTCCAATGGAGGTTTGATTTAGTCCAATGGATGTTTGATTTAGTCCAATGGATGTTTGATTTAGTCCAATGGATGTTTGATTTAGTCCAATGGATGTTTGATTTAGTCCAATGGATGTTGATTTAGTCCAATGGATGTTTGATTTAGTCCAATAGATGTTTGATTTAGTCCAATGGATGTTTGATTTAGTCCAATAGATGTTTGATTTAGTCCAATGGATGTTTGATTTAGTCCAATAGATGTTTGATTTAGTCCAATAGATGTTTGATTTAGTCCAATGGATGTTTGATTTAGTCCAATGGATGTTTGATTTAGTCCAATGGATGTTTGATTTAGTCCAATAGATGTTTGATTTAGTCCAATGGATGTTTGTTTTAGTCCAATGGATGTTTGTTTTAGTCCAATGGATGTTTGATTTAGTCCAATGGATGTTTGATTTAGTCCAATGGATGTTTGATTTAGTCCAATGGATGTTTGATTTAGTCCAATGGATGTTTGATTTAGTCCAAATGGATGTTTGATTTAGTCCCAATGGATGTTTGATTTAGTCCAATAGATGTTTGATTTAGTCCAATGGATGTTTGATTTAGTCCAATGGATGTTTGATTTAGTCCAATGGATGTTTGATTTAGTCCAATGGATGTTTGATTTAGTCCAATAGATGTTTGTTTTAGTCCAATGGATGTTTGATTTAGTCCAATGGATGTTTGATTTAGTCCAATAGATGTTTGTTTTAGTCCAATAGATGTTTGATTTAGTCCAATGGATGTTTGATTTAGTCCAATGGATGTTTGATTTAGTCCAATAGATGTTTGATTTAGTCCAATAGATGTTTGATTTAGTCCAATGGATGTTTGATTTAGTCCAATGGATGTTTGATTTAGTCCAATAGATGTTTGATTTAGTCCAATGGATGTTTGATTTAGTCCAATGGATGTTTGATTTAGTCCAATGGATGTCGTCTACTCCTTGAAGCAATTTGCAATATGAGATAATACAAAAAAAAGCAGGTGAACCAGAAGTGGATTTTACAACATTGCAAGCTTTCCAGTAGCAATGGTCACCTTTCAAATAATCTTTGAGTATTTGTCACATTTATTTTATTTATATGTTCTATTATTTTCTATTTTCCTTCATATATATATATATATTTTTTAATTATATGTTTTTATTATTTATATTTCTTCTTCTTATTTGTTTTAATTATATATCATTTTTATTATTATATATATTTATTTTCATTTTTAATTGTATTTCTTGTTTTTTTCTTGTTATTAATTCTTCTTGCACTTTTTTATTTTATTTATTTATTTGTATTTAAATGTCATTGTATTTTCTTTGAGGGAACAAGTATATATATGCTACTTATACCTACACAAGTGAAACCTGAGTGAGGGGCTCCATTTTAGAAACGTTATGCTATTGAGCCTTTTTGCCACAACTCGAGAACGAGACCCCTTCAAATCTAACGTGTTTCACCAGTCCTGACAAGTGTGGCAAAAGACACGTTTTAGCCCCCTAACCCAAAACGCGATCCTTCGTCATAAGAATGATAACTTTATGGACGACAACAAGCTTCCCATCTATCAGCTGAATCATGTTTAGTAGTTATTACACAACGTCAGAGATAGCCTCGAGACGCGGGCAGATAGGGAAGCTTGTTGTTCAGAATCAGAAATGCAAACTGAGACACGTCTCCCCGTGGACATCCAGTCAGAAGAGTTTCTGTCTCTGATTTATTAAAGTGAAGGTTTTGCCTGAGGCGGTGAGACACACTTATGAACCGGATTGTCTGAACACAACGTACAGGACACTCGGGTACAGACAGCAGGCTTTTACAAGAACATATAAACCTGTCTGACTACTTTTTCACTACTTCTAGAAACTTTTATGAGATCATTTCCAGCATAAAAACGTAAAAATATAAACAATTTTTTGTTCATGTAATATATATTTTTTAGCCTACAAAGTCCTCTATGCCCAATGTCTTGTTAGAACATTGTCTTTTAGGCTTTTCTAAAGTTTTTTAAGTTAACGTTTTGATCATTTGAAACAGAAATCATAGTAAAAGTTCACGTTTTGATCTTGATTTAAAAACGTATTCGCACAAAAAAAGTGCATGACATTTTTTTCAACTTTCTTTCAGGTTTAATATCATTATGATTCAGTTTGGTGTTTCCTTTGGATACAGTATGTATTCCCTATCATACTGTATACATTTTGATATCTGAGGCCTACTTTTTATAATTGCTGTTTTTTGTGAGTATAAACTTTGACCAGGCGATAAAACCCAAACACAAGAGAGATTATTTTAGCCTTTTTGGATCCAAGATGTTCAATTAATTACAAAAAACATAATAGGGCCCTTTAAATTAAAGTACAAAAGGCTTGGCATCAAAATGTACCAACAGTTAAATTACTTGATACGGTAATGGCCCATTTCAGAATCATAGGGTTAGGGTTCGCTCTAAAATGTAGGAACGTAGAAATATAAAGTGGAATAAGTACCTTCAAATTGGACCTAATTACAATACGTTGAGTATACTTCATTACATTCAACCATTGGGTAGTATTGGTGCGAATGTTACTTCCATGCTAAATAGGTCATTATTCTAGCCTGTCCTGTTTTACACGGTGAGATAATTAGCCAACCAAGCGTCTCTGTTCCTGCTGACCCCGTCACAGTGAAGGATTCTGGGAAATACTACTGTATGACGAAGACAAAGGAAATGTAGGACACATCCCAACACTGCTGTGAATCCGGACATATTGAGTGCCCCAAAGTTAGATTAGAAATGGTAAGGGTCCCCGGCACATGGGAAATGCCGGATGTTGGGCTATTTGCATAAGTTGCATTAATTAGCAGACAATAGCTAAACAATGGTTTGGCCCATTTTGGTGTTGTTTTTAAGGTTAATGAGGATTTTGAATACATTTCTGACATTTGTAGGATCAAAAATAGCACCATAAAACGTTCAAATCAACCCGAAATTCATCACTATCAGCCCAATGAGAGTACACATATGGCAACTCTCTGGTTAAGACTGACCTTTGGATCCTGAAATTGTCATAAATGCATTCAGCATCCTGAATAACCCCAAAAAACACTCCAAAACTGTCCAAGATGCAAAATTGTCTGGAAATGCTAATTTTGCAAATTGCCCAATGTAGACAAGTTAGCATCCGGGAGTTTCTGTGCTGTCGACCCGTACTTTACATTTCTAATATAAAACGTTGGGCTGCTCAATATTTTTAGGTTCTCATTGCTGGAAAGTAGTCTGGTGTGTTTCCGTCCTGAAGGCAGAACTTTCTGTCTGACTCCTGAGACAAAGGCAGCTCTGTGTTTCCACGGTAACCTATGACAGACGCACTCTCATTACTTTAATCACTGCTGAATGCTCCCGTATGGCAGAAATTATCCAATCAATGCATCACCGTCGCCCAAAATCTGCACTGCTTGCTTGTTTGTCTAAAAGTAAGAGGCCCATTCACAGACTTGTCCATAAATCAATTATTCAAAGTCACTTCCAGTCATGTGTCTCTCTCCAGAAGCTTTCAGTGTCTGGATTTATAACTTATCTGCAGTTTACTGTACTCAGTAGAGATGTCCGCTCGTCTCTCAGCTCCTGCCAGGGTTCTGTCTTCTGCTGACACTCTCCAGAGAATCTTCAGTGTCACACATACACTCTCCAGAAATGTGTTTCTCTTTCTAAAGTCAGCGCCTTCAGTGCCATGAGAGGAAGGGTTCATCAGGACGGCGTCAGCGAGTCATTTGTCATTGGACATATAAAAGAGACCTGGAACTAGAGCTGACTTCACGATTAGTAGCCAAATCATGCAATGCAGCATTCATACCTTTTTACTTCATCTTCTTAATTTAATTTACATAATTTTATATAAATGATGTTTATAAAAGGTGTGTGTGTGTGTGTGTGTGTGTGTGTGTGTGTGTGTGTGTGTGTGTGTGTGTGTGTGTGTGTGTGTGTGTGTGTGTGTGTGTGTGTGTGTGTGTGTGTGTGTGTGTGTGTGTGTGTGTGTGTGTGTGTGTGTGTGTGTGTGTGTGTGTGTGTGTGTGTGTGTGTGTGTGTGTGTGTGTGTGTGTGTGTGTGTGTGTGTGTGTGTGTGTGTGTGTGTGTGTGTGTGTGTGTGTGTGTGTGTGTGTGTGTGTGTGTGTGTGTGTGTGTGTGTGTGTGTGTGTGTGTGTGTGTGTGTGTGTGTGTGTGTGTGTGTGTGTCAGCAGTACCTCTGTGGATGAATCTCAGGTAAAGTTCCTGACTTCCTGAAATACCAGAGTCTCCGTGGGGGGGGGGGGCAGTCAGAGGTGAGGGACTGATGCGTGAAATCAAACGCATCGGAGCGAGGGGCCGACTCGTAACCAATCAGGGGCCCCGGATTCCTGAGAGCCCCCCCGCAGGGTTTCTGAGAGAACTAAATAAAGAGGGCTAATGAGTTCAGCAGGAAGAGAGAAGCTTCCTCAGGACACCGAGAGCCTTCCTGCTCTCTCGTCCTCTCGTCCTCTTACCCTCCTCACCCTCTCACCCTCTCACCCTCTCACCCTCTCACCCTCTCTTCCTCTCACCCTCTCACCCTCTCTTCCTCTCACCCTCTCGTCCTCTCGCCCTCTCGCCCTCTCACCCCTCTCACCCCTCTCTTCCTCTCACCCTCTCGCCCTCTCGTCCTCTCGCCCTCTCGTCCTCTCGCCCTCTCGCCCTCTCTTCCTCTCGTCCTCTCGCCCTCTCGCCCTCTCGCCCTCTCACCCTCTCGCCCTCTCGCCCTCTC